GTGTAAAAACTTTATTGTGGCATCGATAGAAATTATTTCGAACATTTTGTTGTCTCTACTAATTACTCAACTTGCCCCAAACTTTCTTGAGCTATAAGCGACAATTTCACAGCCACCGTTAGGAAGCAGACGAATATACCGGGACGTACATGCTAGAATTTGCAAGCAAGTCAGCCCATAATTATCCGAGGAGCCGTCCGGTATCCCAGAATATTATCATTGGTCAGCAGTGATGCTGTGTTGCCACTACTTATTTGAGGACCTCATTTTAAAGGACTAAGTAAAAGTGGACAGTGGAGAAACTTAGTGCTACACCCCAAGCACTTATTCAGGCAATTTGAATAGAAACTGGCAACAAAAACGCTACTGACATCAAGCAGCTGCCATATTCTGCAAAATCTCTAGCCAGACGCTTAGGGGATCACGCAGTCTCCATCCTGAAAGATCAGTCGCAGCGAAAGCACTATGAATTTTTAAAAACTGTTTGTTTCTATGATAGCTCGATATTTTTTACATATATACTTTTGTTACTTCAAATTTGGCATGAAAATCAGCACTCTTTTCGGAAAACGATGGTTAGGGATGCACAGTATATAACCTGAACAACTCAGTTTTTGGTGAAAATTCACGTTTCACGACCGAACACTTGCTTTATACTTACTTCAAGACGCCAAACCTTACAGGCTATGATTCTTAGAAAACGGTTGTTGAACACCCAAAGGCACTTCAGTTCCGCTGCTAGACTAGCCGTACAAAGCTCTGTCTCTATGCTTCGACAAATTAGGTAACATTCTAGTACCAAACAACACAACTGGGTCAATTCACTGGCAAGAATTCCAAGCGAGTTGTTTTTTTCACTGTCAGATACACAATAAAGCCTTCAGCGGTTCTTCAATGACCGAGAATCTGACCAACCAACTTAATGGTGTTTTATAGCTTAGTTGAACACAAGCCTATTTGTTAACATATTAACTGACCAAAATCTCGGTACTCATCACTTTTTTCAATAATTGTATTCCTCAGATTTAACTAAAAGCTGGGATGCATCCGGACTTATCAGCCAAAACGCTTGCATCACCCCCACTAAGGGAAAGGCCGTGGAAGAATATCTTAACTAGGCCTTTGGAGATTTGTGAAGCTATTTGAAGCAGAAAAGCTCTTCGCCGGTTTACCCTGCAGAAGTATTTGTGAGTTTTTCACGCTGTAATTTGTACTCCTAGATGCTTTGCTCAACAAGCAGGTAGATGTATCCTAGTGTCGTTATCAGAAAACTATATGGTCTTTGAGAAACGCCAGAGTCACTATTTCACGCGCTCTTCGTTTAAATTTAAACAATTGGGGGGGGGGAAATTGAGGGAACTTTACCAGTATTTCCATTTAAACTTTTATCAGCACTGGTCTTTTATCATTCAGCAACGACAGCCAGTTTGCGCTTCTTTATGCATGACGAAACTAAACAATGATAGATTGATTCCCAAACAGCGGTGCATCTTTCAGCTTGGTTTTTTAGCAGGAATGCTCCTCATTCAATAGGAGGTTCTCAGAAGGTAATTTATGCTGAAAAACCGAAAAACTAACAATTATTTTGAATAAAACAATAAGTCAAGCTTATTTACTCAAAATTGACAAATGAATAAAACAAATTAAACTTTCTTTTCCTTTGCATTAAAGAGATTGGTCGGTCAAAACTTTCCGTAGCTCTTTGAAAAATAAGTGGACTCAACGGAAGAAATGCCATAAAACTCAAGTAGTTGGTTGAAAAACATAGGCCACTACTACGTTCATAATTAAGCACTGTAACCGATGTTATGGATTGAGTAATATCCAAACAAATGCTGAATCTTAATATAGCAGCAATTACCTTTTAGTAAGCAACACCGGCATTTGACTGAGAGTGTTTTGAGCACCAGTATGGAATGCCAGGTTCTACAAACGGTAATGGCTTTCCATTGATTCAGTGTGTTCTCTGGCAGGACATTGGAACTATCAGTGTACATTTCACTTCAGTTTAGTTTATTATCTATAAAACATGTGCCACATAAACGTTGTTTACAGCTACTAAAATATTTACAGCAAAAAAACAAAAGTATGGGGCATATGTCCAGGCGGTTTTGTCGTTGACATATCTGCTTTGTTCAAAAATTGAGTAGTTACGCAGTAAAGGTGATAGTTTTGATGGACGAGTTTCACTGAGTGCGCTATTGGACTGTTTTTGCCGGTGTTATTAGCTACGGGTGAGTTCAGTCCCGGGGTCTAGGGCGGTGACAGTTACCGACCCGACTGAGTTTACTGGTTAGTATTTTTGCATAACCGAAAGAGACTTACTAGTGGGCTCTCATCACAAATAACTTCATTTTGAAATATCTTCCGAGGATACTAGTTTAAATTACGTTCTCACCATGTAGGTAAATTTCAGAGTCGAAAACACCTAGATAGAATCGTTAGTTTAAACAAACGTTTGCCTATCACGAGGCACACTGTACCTTACTTATGCCTAATTCATTGCAATGTAGCATAAACAACCAACATAACAATAACATTCTATAGATTAGAAGGTAAAGTATCACTGTTTGCCAAATGCGCTAATGTGTCCAAGTTACAGTGCAGTTACTCACAACTTAAGTGTTGGTTTCCCAGTTCGTTTGTCCTCAATGGTCACCTCCCATCTGATCTCATGAGTTTGAAGGAATGAATACTTTGCACTTCAGTGAATAATTTGTGAAAAACATCCGTTTTTACAATACTTATGTCATGCTGTTGATGATGAGGATTTTTTAGGGTTAAATTTTTAATCTAGGACCTATATTTAGGTTTAATAGTAGCTGATCGTTTGACGCATGAGTTTTGCTTGACCTTGTGGATTTGGAAGGCTGCTAGCACAGTAGTATGTTGGTCCAAAAAGGAGAGTGATTCGCAGTGTCGGCGTTTGACGTCGTATTATATGACCACCTGCGATGCCTAAAAACGGCTTTCGTCAACAGAATTAATCCCATGGTACTCTGAACAAGAAAGTTGTTTTAGATGCAAGTAACATGGATTATTTTGAATAACAAACTAATTGACTGGGTAAACTTTTGTAGTGGTAACACAGCAGAAATGTGGTTTCAAAAGAATAGCGTTCAGAAAAGCACAGTTTACTAACCGACAGAAAACTGGGTATTAAGCTTCTAGAATCTGTTAGTAAACTTCTTTTTGGTTAATGTTTGTATTGTAACGGCTTGTTGCTCTTAAGCTTTTTGCAAAACTGATTTTAGTCTTTGCTGTCCGTTTTACAGTATACATAAAATACAGACCTTAGTAAATTTCCTGATATTTGTATTCAAACAGAGACTAAAGAGTTAATACCAATAGAATTCTATATACTTTCTAGCACCATATTGTTTACCTTGTTCTTCCGAGGATACTAGTTTAAATTAAGTTCTCACCATGTAGGTAAATTTCAGAGTCGAAAACACCTAGATAGAATCGTTAGTTTAAACAAACGTTTGCCTATCACGAGGCACACTGTACCTTACTTATGCCTAATTCATTGCAATGTAGCATAAACAACCAACATAACAATAACATTCTATAGATTAGAAGGTAAAGTATCACTGTTTGCCAAATGCGCTAATGTGTCCAAGTTACAGTGCAGTTACTCACAACTTAAGTGTTGGTTTCCCAGTTCGTTTGTCCTCAATGGTCACCTCCCATCTGATCTCATGAGTTTGAAGGAATGAATACTTTGCACTTCAGTGAATAATTTGTGAAAAACATCCGTTTTTACAATACTTATGTCATGCTGTTGATGATGAGGATTTTTTAGGGTTAAATTTTTAATCTAGGACCTATATTTAGGTTTAATAGTAGCTGATCGTTTGACGCATGAGTTTTGCTTGACCTTGTGGATTTGGAAGGCTGCTAGCACAGTAGTATGTTGGTCCAAAAAGGAGAGTGATTCGCAGTGTCGGCGTTTGACGTCGTATTATATGACCACCTGCGATGCCTAAAAACGGCTTTCGTCAACAGAATTAATCCCATGGTACTCTGAACAAGAAAGTTGTTTTAGATGCAAGTAACATGGATTATTTTGAATAACAAACTAATTGACTGGGTAAACTTTTGTAGTGGTAACACAGCAGAAATGTGGTTTCAAAAGAATAGCGTTCAGAAAAGCACAGTTTACTAACCGACAGAAAACTGGGTATTAAGCTTCTAGAATCTGTTAGTAAACTTCTTTTTGGTTAATGTTTGTATTGTAACGGCTTGTTGCTCTTAAGCTTTTTGCAAAACTGATTTTAGTCTTTGCTGTCCGTTTTACAGTATACATAAAATACAGACCTTAGTAAATTTCCTGATATTTGTATAACCCCTTCCCACTGCACAAGCAAACCAATAGAATTCTATATACTTTCTAGCACCATATTGGTTATTTTACCTTGTTGGTGACAGTTGTTTAGGCCAACTGGGCTTCAAATAAGTTTTTTACGAGCAAGTTGCCATTGTAAATTTGAGTTCTAAAGAGCAGAAACATACGATTTGCCGTACGTATTCCTCAAATTCGGGTTTGCCGTTTACCTTAATAAAAGCGCAGAGACTGCTGCATATTCGCTCTTCCTAAGCCTAGATGGAAGCAGTCAAAAGTCAGATGCAAATTTGAAGCGCTACTTCTTTGCCTAGAAGCTTTTCGACCTAATCACTCAGCTATTCTAAATCTCAGATATTTTGGCCCAAATAATTCCAAGGCTAATTTCAGTGACCATGAGGGATTGGAAACTAATCACTCTATTAAGTGAGTGATTATTTGGATCGCCGCTGATTGCGCGTAGAATATATGTTGTTTGGTTTAGGTCTATGTGTAACGGCTCATGTACTTAAATAACGCGATTTTAATAACAAGAAAAGGGATAACTTTCATTTATTTGTGGAATGTGCAGTTCTAAAAGCACACGATAATCATCATCAGTTTTTGTGGAAAAACAAGCTTAAAGCATTATTGAAAACATTTTGGATAATTCCAATCAGTTTGCAACGTATATATCTTGATGTCCCTCTAACATTTCAATATCTTGCTCCAAATCACCAAGGGCAGCTTCCAACCACTGTTTTCTATTTATCTTTGTGAATGTATCCATCATGACTGGGAGGCACTGATACTGTTGATACAACGCATCCCATTGTCCTTTTAGTCCATTGAGTAAAGACTGAAAAATATGATCATGATCCTGAAGGATGCTTAAATTTTGCTCACCTTTTTTTCCTCCTCAGATACTTGATAAAGGGCCTTCTTCCGTTTCATTTCTCTAACGTAATCGTTGTATTGCTGTTTTGCCAGAGCAACAGCTTTTGCACGCTGGACCAAATAATCTGGGACATCACCAAATTTCTAAAAATATTTTAGAGTAGTAATGTTTTATCACTTTTTTATACACGTAGACAAGCTCCAAACCAGAAGGAGGCAAATCTATCTTGTCTCCCGTTCGTGTGTCAACCAAGAGTCTCTTCGCTTTCTTTGAAGGCATTTTTTGCGCTGCTATCTTGTTCATCGTGACGTAATCTGTGGCGCATGGTAGACGCTGGAGTGCGTTGTTTGATTTTGACGGTAGATCTGCTTTCTTTGCATCAAGCAAACAATCCCTAAAGGTTTCTTTAAGCGGCATGTATGTAAAAAACAAACTCACTTCTATCATCGGCATTAGCGGACTTGCTGCGTGGCATGTGCACCATATGGTGGCCTTCGTTTTTTTTGAGGTAATTATCTGGAGTCGGAACCGGGACTTTTGCTGGTCCCATTGTCTTCCATTTATATTTGTCTGAGTTGAACTCCTTTTCCACAGTGTGCCGGAATTGCGATGTGTAACTAAGGGCAAAACAAAGTGTTTACCTTTTATTTTGTTGTCTGTTCAAGAAAAACGATACGTACTTAAGAGCATCAAACCTAGCTTAGCTTCGAAAAACTAATATGTTGCGGAAAAGGCGAACACCACTTTTCCATGTCTTGTAATTACCAAATGCGTTAAGTTTTCCAGTTTTGTATCCAACTGAATAATGAATGTGAATCTTTTCCTTTAGAAAATATTGATGATTACAAAATGGGTTTTTAGCAAGAATGATCTTTTCTGGTGATGGTCTCAATGCAGCTGTACCACGATGCGTTTTTTACAGAACATTTCAGATGCCAAGAACACGTTTTGACTAAAGTGAAGGTTTTAAAAGTAATTTGTACCTTTCCTTGATTAGTTCTTAGTATTACATTTATCGTACACATGGTTGCCTTGAAATTTTCGTAACTAGGGCTCATTTTTTCGATTTGTAGACATTTCAGCATGTTGTGTCTGATGTTGATTTTGTGCTAGTTTTGTGTCGTTGCATTAGAGGTAATCACAGAATAATTTAGCTGGCTAAAACTTACGTACAAAAAAGCAATATAATCACCGATGCTGTCTTATAATTTTGATGCCAACCTACATTTGCTGAACTCGTCCTTTGGATTATCAATGCACAGTTTTCTGATAAAGGCAGCATGATACAAGTTTTATCCGCAAGGTAGTGGACGTCACTGTCGTCATAGAATTTGAATTATGCAGTGGAATTACAAAGTAAACAGTATTCGAAACGTATTTGGACAGTAATTGACTCGTGAAATTTTTGTGTTTCTTTTTAGCCAATGCATTAAAATCTGAATACAAGTTTTATCCGCAAGGTAGTGGACGTCACTGTCGTCATAGAATTTGAATTATGCAGTGGAATTACAAAGTAAACAGTATTCGAAACGTATTTGGACAGTAATTGACTCGTGAAATTTTTGTGTTTCTTTTTAGCCAATGCATTAAAATCTGAGTGTCTTATTTTTGTACATAGACCTGTTTGCCACATTAAGCACGATCTACAGCATGAAAGTCGATACAGATGGCAGGGGAACTATTTGAAGATCAACAGGTTCTTATTTGTAAAGTTGACGTATCAGTCTTCTAATTCAAGTTTTCAGCCTTCACAGCATAGCTGTTTTTGCCGAAAAAGCTTAATTACTGTACAAGATAAACAGCGACACATTTGATGCTTTTTTCTGTTTAAACTTCATAAAAAATGGTTATAAAAACTCAACCAGTGCTACTTGATTCATCAATAATTGCGAAATAAAACTCCACAGATGGCTGTACACATTTCAGTTGCATGAGTCTGTTGGCGCTCACTTACATTTACGCTATACTTTTTGTACATTAGATTGTGCGTTTGACGACAGCAAGTGTTCATAGCTGTTATTAACCGATAGATTCCAGTAAGCTTTTGCCAAAAATTCGTTAGGATTGTGCCTTGACCCACTGCATATTCTTCACATATGTTTCCATTATTTTTTGTTCCACAGCTACTAAGCATTTGGGATATTGTTATATCTGTGTCTCCAAAGTGTCGGTTTGGTTTAGCGGAAAAATCGGACCGAAGATTGTGAGATAAACAAGATGATTTTAGAAAAAGTATAGATCAATTACTTAAACAGCACTCCAGAAGACCAACTGCTCAGTGCTGTGCTTGATAGAAGGGTCCAAAAATGGCGCAAAAGCATGAAAAGACCCCCAGTAGACCCGTTTGTGTCAATTATAGTACCTCTCTTGATGTGGATTCCGGGACTGAAGTCACCAGTGGTTAAGGAGACTGGTAGGGCATGGATCAGTGACGCAGCCAGAAGACCTTGCGCAAAGAAGATATTGGTTTTAGTGCACGGCAGTCTAGTTCCAGGAAATAACCAATCACGCCATTGCCTAAGTATATTTCCCGAACTGCCCCGCTATTTGTTAACTCAAACCGTATCAGGTGGAACCAAGATACTAATGGTACTTGGTTTACTGCTGACGACTGATTGACCAGCTGACTGACTGACAACTGAAAATATCTACCTCCGAGGTGATGCTTCAATTCACTACTGCTAATAAAAGTATAAAAATGACTTATACAGTTGGCGTTCTCTAAGGGCTTTAGAACAGAATGACAAATTCTATTAGCATCATAAGCTGTAGTAGTAGAACTCGTGAGTATTTGTTACCCCCACTTTGAGTAGAACGTAAGAATTAATGTCATTATAACACACATATGACTGAGTCCGCTGCAGACTTTTCCGCAAGGATTTGGCCGTTGCTAGAGTGCATTGATCAATAGAAAGACAAAATATTTGATGAAATGTCCGTTTTATAAGCTGTAAGCATTAAAAATTAAAAACAAAACTGGCACTCCATAGACAGAATCCCCTTTGGAGAAGCACTTTAAATGAACTTTCATTGAAGAATTAGCAAATAGAGTAGCACTGGACCAACGTTTGTGTTTATAAAGCTATTTTTTAAACTTCATCATTACCTTGATTAGAATTTGGTGTGAAAGGTTCCAGGATTCACTCAGGACTAAACTTTTCCGGCCGTGCTTTAGTATCACTTGAACGGTTGATGCCTGTGAACTGGACGCAATTTGCCCTGTTAATACAACCTGATATTTTGAGCAGTCGATTAGTGGTAATCAGCTCAGGTGAACAAGGTATGAAATTGAGCTGTGCTGCCGTATGTAGTAGACAATAAACATTCATCAACAAAATGTATTTTTACTTGTAAAGGTTCTTTGTTGCTGAGCAAAAAACACATTTTTGGTTGTGGTATTATTTCATCCGAAAAATAGGGGCTTTGACGTGATAAACTTTTTTTGGAAATCACGGATCACCATCTCGCAAGGTGGTAAAATAAATGGACGATTAAACTTTCTCAATGAACCTTATAATAATTTTATTAGGTTTTAGCCTTTTTTGCGTTGCCAAGATTGGGAGGGAGTGCAAATGACCAAGTGAGCTGGCATAAAACAGCAAACGTCATTATGTGGGACCTCGTCTTAGCCAGTCTACACCAAATTGCACGGAAGCATTATGGGGAAAACTCACTCCGACGGCTTTCAAGGTAGTACAAGATAAAAATATGCACCCATGCACGATATACCCGTGATAATGGGCATGAATCTCAGTGTGCGAGAAAATTTGGTTGACACCATAAAATGCGCCGATGTTGAAAAGACGGGCAACCAAATTTTTGAGCTGTTTTCATTTTCTAGTGGCACTATATATGCGCACCTACAGTGTGGAGTGCAAGACAAAAAAGTGATCAGATGACCTCCGGCAACTACCAAAATGTCTTTAAAGCCCGCAACCTAAAATAAAGTAGTTACTTTTTAGGGTACATCCGAGATAGTCATACTGATTTTCACCTTTACTCATGAGCAACCAGGAAAAAAGATCAAAACGGGTGGGTTGACTGATTGAACCATTGTAATCACAGCAAGGCATGAAAGGGGTCCTTTTTTACATATATTTAAAGAATAAATGCGAATAGCCCGGCACGGGGCTGTGTTAACAAAGTGGGACGTATGCACAGACTGTCACAAGTCCATCATCAGGAATAATTTACAGACGCGATTACCCACAGGCGTTTTTAATGCCTAAAAACCCATTATGTTAGGTGGAAAATGAAGGTCGAATTTTTAGATACTTGTAGAGAAAAATGAAAATTTAAATTTAAAATTATTACTTCAACTGCAAATATTGCTTAAACAACCGATTTGGTACAAAAAAGTCGCTGACCAAATATGGTACCCTAGTAGGGTATTATGGAGTAATATACACCTACCTACGCATTCATTACTCCTAATCTAGCTGTTAGAAGAAAGCTGTTTACCTCCAAATTTTGCAGATGTAGGTTAGTACAAGCAGCAATTCACCTGATTAAACTCTATCGTGTAAAACTTCTACTGTTTAACTGTGGTGGCTAGATTGGTACATGTCGGAATTTCAGATTTTCTTTTTGTAAGGGGGTGCCAGTAAACAGATTAATTAGCTGAAAACCGAAGCATAATATAAGGTTTTGGAATACATCTTTTGGAAAAAATTATACGTCTCTAAGGGCTTTTCCTGATTGCGATTACTTTTACTTAGGAATACTTTTCGTTTGAGGCAATTTGATCATTAAAATAGGAACTCTCATCGAAAGATCCTCCAAGTTCTCTCCACAAAAGCTCAACATTCATACAATCAAATTCTCACAATCACATCAAAAAGATTGTCTTCCCGACTATGTGCATAGAAATGACAGTAAATATCTCTTCCAAATGCGGACTTTGGTCAATTTCGTTAATCTGTCCCACAATTTACAACTTCACGACCAAATATGGATGCAAAGCATTATCTGCTTTTTGAGGTCAAATTCTGCATAAGAAATATACTCCAATTCTTCAGTGTTTGAACCGAGGACGGAATTCCCTCATATCTATCTCTCGTCCTGTGCTGAGTGCGGAAATCACTTCCGGTCCTTGTACAGACACTGCACGACTTTTTATGGGTCAACATCCTCGATTTCTCACCTTAGTGTAGAGTATGGATATAAGTCTATTTTTGCTGAGAGATATTTACTGTGAATAGTTGTGTACGCGCGCCATTCACTAAGCTGCATTTATGCCAAGAACCCCAGGATATGACATACATACTTGTTCTTACCTTTCTGCCACCCTAATATGCCGATTATACTCAATCGTTTTACTTGGATTCATATTCAGATGGATTAATGTAGAGGGCAAAGAAGTGTGTAACCTCCTAACCCGCATCCACACTGATAAGCTGAGTAAAAAGGAAGGTAGTTTTTGTCGCACATCCACTAGTTCCGGCTGCAATTCCAAGATTCCCACAAGATTTAATCAAATAAATGCATGGGAGCTTCCGATAAAAAGTTATTCTGAACACGGATCCTCAATATATTTACTCCAATGAGACGTAAGAACATCACTAATCGCACTATGTATAAAGTAGGCTCTCTAGGCGCGTACTTTTCCCATGTCATTGTCGGTTTTACGTTGGTAAAGATTTACCCGGAATTTAAGCTGAAACGCAAGTTGAAATCACAATATAGACATGCTGACAAAAGCACCGATATCTTGAATAAAATTTTCACCATGGAGTTCCAGATACGGATGGCGAAAATTAAACATACTTGAATTAATAGGGTGTAGTAGACATTAAGGGACCACATTACTTACCGCAGGGGTTTAGGAGGTATTTCCAAAGGTTTTGGCAGCAAGTTGTAAATCGACTCCTCCATCAATGTAGGACTGAGGTACTTGTCAAGTGAGAGATTGTTCCTTTTTTGGTGAGCCTTTAAGGGTCAGCAAATTTTCATAAAACCTCTGCCTAATTACCATGGCATTCAATTTTTTGGTGTACTAAAACACCTGATCCACAACTTTCAGTTCAAAAGCATCGAAAAAACGGGTGCGACCGAACAGGTGACCAAGATAGGCGAAGGAACTGCGCGACAACTCTCCCAATTTTCCTGGAATCCTGGGATTCCGGAATTCTTTAACATGTAATTTTTCTCCCTCGTTTTGGTCCATACATATGGCTACACGGGTGTTACACACGAACGAATTTCATCTCTTCATGACTTTTCGGGACGAAAACAATGACTTATTTAAAGAAGCTAACCCATCTCACGAACATTTGAGAGTCATACAAGAACGAGGCTAAATAGAAGCGTTTGTGATTTGCGTAAACTTTCCCCATCACTCGGGAAGGCAGCCAGTTTATAACTGCGGCGGTGTCAAGGCCTATCACGGATTGACGGATTGATACGCAGGATCGAGGCTATTGCCCACGTTTGCCGGATCGCTTTTGTTCTTGTTGGTCAGTGGCTGTCGTTCACCTGAAAGGCACAAGTGAAAAAGGGTGTAGCACTGCTCTTTATGTTCTCAGCGCGGGGCAGTATGCTTGCCAGCGCGAGGATTCGCATAAATAAACGTCTAATAGTGCTTTAAATTGGGTTCTAGAAGGAGCACGTACAACCGTCGGAGGAAGGTCATTCCACGCAGCTACTACTCGAAATGAAAAATTTTTTCTAATGAATGTGTGTACCCTGAGCTTGAAAATTTTCTTACTATGTCCCCGCCGTGTGCTTGCTGGGTCAACGGTAAAAAACCTGTTTGCCAAGATTTGTTCAAACAGGGCGTAAGTAAGAATTAGGTCCCCTCGGAGGCGACGGCATTCCGGGGTAAAGAGCTCAAGCATCGCGAGACGCGTTTCGTAATCCATGGATTTGAGGGCGGCAACCATTCTCGTGGCGGCCCGCTGGACACGCCCAACACCGACCAACTAGTCTAGTGGATTAAAACTGCGCCAACTCACGACGGTGTGCATTTCACACCCCGATGAGTTGGACGGCTTTTAAAGGCTGGTAAGTTTACAGAAGATAACACTCCTTTCATGTATTCCTTCATAGTTCTGGATATTCCGCTTCCGATGAAAATCATCAACGTTAACATAAACGTTGAGCTCACTTTCAGCTGGATGTATCCAGTGCGCCTACATGTGGAGCAGCTTCCCCGGAGTATCATACAACCCTGTGTTTCTGAACCTTTGCCACTGTCTCCAAATCAGCTCTCAGGGAATATGGGCAACGGTGGGATGTTTTGGCAGATGATCGACGCCCGGTACCAGGCGCTCCTGGCCCGAGGCACTTCTGTCAGGACGGTCAATAATGACCCATGTGTTGCGAGAAATCGACGACCTCGGCTCCTATATTATGTCTTTCGTGAGCGCTCCGTAACTGATTTTCAGCACAATACACTTGGTCTCGGATTGCCCCCTTACAGAGGCCCTTCAGTATTTCCACCATTTTTGCTAGCTCAAATTCGATGATACCAAGTCTTTGAATTACTGTCATCTGGTGGTGTTAAGGCGGGATGGCCTCAGTCATAATTATACACGTGCATTGATGTTTTGGCGTGTTATATTGTCCCAGCTCACCAGAGTAAAATACACCAGTAGAGAGTTGGCGGAGATGAACGGGCATTCCATGCTCTGCAACTAGCAGTATGGTATACAAACAATTGCATTAGTTACATTAGTTTGAAGTTATGTTTGTTGATGAGAACTGGGAGCATTCTTTCCTCCAAAACCCTTCTATTTGTCATACTTCAGGGGCACTCTAATCGACTTGAACCAGTCCAATGATGATCTCTTCCAAACAACGGAGTTGGCCTCATAACTGCCGATGAAGTTCTTCTGCAGGCTATATATCTTGTATGTATTGAAGTAAACGGAGAACATGTGTGTCGAATTTGTCTTTTGGTGCGAGACCCACCGATCCACTAATTACGGAGTTTGGCTCCTGATGAACACCGACCGTGTCAGAAAATCACAGCTGACTGGTACGTGGATCAAAAGGCCTACGTGAGTCGAGCCTTCTCTATCGGGTGAGTTGAAAGGAAAACTTCCTGGGCCAGTGGGATCTCGGCAAATAAGCACACGGAAATTCAACCACCAAGAAATCAGCGTGTCTACACTTTCTCGAGCTGTAGATAACACGTGCCGATTTATAGTAACCTTGACTGAAACTCTTAGCAGCTTGAGTTTTCAGGAAGTAGCTCATGCCGGCGTATAAGATCTTTTCTGATCACTGTTTAAGGTAGCAGATACGCAACAACCAGGGTATTTTCCCGAATGATGTGTATAAGGTGGACAAGAGCTATAGCTCCAAATTAAGCTCGAGTGCCTTTAGACAATTTTAATTGTCAATACACTTCACTCATATATTGCTTGAAACAGCTCTCCCTGAGTTGTTCCACAATGTAACAGGCTTTAGTTTGGGTTTCGGCTGCCGTAGGAACCCGCCCCCCAGGTGATTACTGCCGTTGCTGTCAGCACAACACGCCATATTCCAAGAGAAGTTCACATTCTTGTGTCATTTTAAAGACCTGTTAAGACGGGTTAAGTAACATCCTGCTCCCACCATAAACTCTGATTTTAATATCTTGTTTTTTATGCGGATCTAATATGTTGTTCAAGCACTGTGTTGTTTCAGAGCGCCAGACGCGGAATGTCTTCTGATTTGCATGACTACTGACTGCGTGCGCACCTGCTGTAGAAGACAGCTTACCAACAATATACTCCCATTCCAAACCACATGTGGCAGCCAATCCCCATACATAGTTCCCTTGACGAAATGAGCTGAAGCCCTCTTATTTTACTGAACAATTTCATAACTCTTACGGACTTTGGTCGAACATTGTGATTTTGCGGTTGGTCACCGTCGATATCTGTTTCGTTGTGACGATATCGATTTTGAGGCGAAGTCATCTGCGCTTTATCCTTAGGTGATTGTACCGCCTCATTTTGTAACCCTACGGTATGTGCAGAGCAGAATCCGTTGAGGTTTGTTGAGTGCGTATAATATTATCTTTGCAATAGTACCGTGATTCCAAAATCGCATTAGAAATCGGATTTCTTGGTCGTTTTCGTGGATTGGCACGCGTGACTCAAGCTCAAAAGCAGATAGCCGTGACACCTACTTCTTTTGAGAAACAACAATGTTGGTTTTGTTAAGGCAATCTCGGTTTTGACGGCTTTTTGACCAAATTTAATGACCTCCGTTTGCACCACTCCCGTAAGTTATTTATGCGAGATGCCATCACTTCGCCATCATCCGCCTATCCAAAAACTACATTATGTGAGTAAGTGTGTTTTCATCGTTGACATTCCTCTCTCGACACCCCCACTTGGTGAAAGGTTAATTTTGATTGCGTTTGAGCTATGGAGTCATTTGTGAATGATTCGGAAAGGTGGTCCTGGCTTTGAGTCGAATCCGTGGCTGATGAATTACGGCCTCAGTAAAATATGCTGTTCTGGCGTTGTAACGAGCCAAACGTTCAGTACGTTCCATTGGTCTAATGAACACATAACGGACACAGCACAGTCTTCAAAGTTTCAGTCACTTTATTATGAAATGCCGCCTGTAAAAACTGAGTTATTGGTGGATGTATTTGACAGAATTATACTCAGTCCCCCGAGTAAAATCGGCCGATATTTGGTAACGTTGTCTGCCTAGCGGATTGAATGAGGCCACCCGTGTTGCTACTTTCAAAATGCAGCGCCTAATCTTTGGACGCACACCCGAAGTTTCTCTGAAAACGTAATCCGAATGGGGAATACGTTCGCATAAAATTTTGCATTCGGCAGTATTTAGTCGAATCCTTCAAATCTCAGTGGCAGTTCTACTAAAAATGTGTCTAGGCGTACACAAGCTCCAATTTGGCGCAGGATTCATATTTGTAATGGCCGTCGCGCCCCAGCACGATGTCCGCGTGAAGACGATGAGAAATGCTTTGGAAACGGTTTCTCTAAGTGCCTTCTCTTGTAGTGGGTTTGGAAATATTTTGAGATTTTAGACGAAGATTATTTGTCGTCTCTTCCAGTGCAAACTGAACTAGAGTAGCTATTTCTGACCTATGTATGTAAGTTCGCTATCGTTACAGCAGGCGTCCTAATAAACAAGTCCAAGAAATCCGCCACAGCTAATAAGGTTGGTGGATCTTTTTGTGATAGTCAGCACACTCTGTGTTGGGTACACGGCAAGACTATGGCTTCAGCGGTTTACTGTCCCCTTGGTATTACCACAGAAGGATTAATTGTGTTTATGGGCAGTGCCATCAGACAGTAGTTCGGAGTTCTGGCACTAATTCATCACAGCGTCACAATCCTTCGAGTACATGTAACACGCTAAACTAGAAAATAGTATAGATCTGTTGAACTACAGGCGAGTCGTCTGACTGGGTATGGCAGTTGCGGTTAAGTCATCGCCACGTCGTTCTTTGGTCCGTGGACTGCCCCCTAAATAAGCGTCTTGGTTGAGTCAGTTAGGAGGCAGGATAGTTGACATTGGCTAAGGAATAGCGACAAATAAAGACCATCCTGAGCGAGAAATTTCTTGCGACTACCGACGACTGTCATTGGTCTAAAATTCGTAACAGTAAGCACACGAGAGTAAAGCGACAGTGATCGACGGTCTGGCGAAGATATAGTACGGAACGGCGGCGTGCGGTTGATGCAAGCCTGCTTGGTCATATGGAAAAATGAGTAACTTTCATCAACCAAATTTGTTGCCCCTAAGTTCATAGCGAGTCATAATCGTCCATGGAGCTAGGAAGAAGTGAAAAGGTGTGTCATAATGGTTTTCACGATTATGGTTCAGGCTTATGTGCAAAAACACAGACCAGAAGGCGAAATGTACAAGAACTACCAACTTTGTTGGGAGCAGAAACTAAAACTTCACCCTAATGGTCGAATTCGAACAAAATGTTCAGAAAATGAGAATGAACGCGTTCTAGAGGCGTCTTGGGCATGTCGGTGAG